AGTGATATTTTATATTTCTAGGTTTTTATTTTTATTTATTTTTAATTTGTGGAATAAAACAAAAATGTCCATAACAAAGTACAATTTAAAAAATATGATTGCACAAAAACTGTAAATCCATTGTGTATAACTTGCTATTCCTTTTAAATATATAATAAAGTTGTCATGTAAATTTCTTCTTTTTCCTTTCTTTCTCTCCCTCCATCCTCTGCCCTCCTTGCCCTGCCTTTGAGATGGCTACCATTTAGTCACAAATATGTGTGTGTATATGTGTGTGTGTGTGTGTGTGTGTGTGTGTGTGTGTATGCGTGTGTAAAATCATACTATGCGTATTCTATTTGTCAGTTCTTTTTCTGGATGCAGATGATGTCTTCCTTCACAGGTCTTTTATAGTTAATTTGGGTATTTATAATAGTCAAAATGACTTATTTGCTCAAAGTTGTTCTTAAAACAACATTGCTGTTACTGTATACAATGTTTTCTTGGTTCTGCTCATTTCACTCTTCATCATTTCATATAAGTATTTCCATGTTTTTCTAAGATCATTGAACTCATCATTTCTTATGGCACAGTAGTATTCCATCACAATCATATACCAGAGCTTGTTCAGCCATTCCCCAATTGATGGGCATCCCTGGAAATTCCAGTTCTTTGTCACTACAATACATGGGTTGTTTGTTTTTTTAAATTCAGACTTTTTTTTTAATGTAAGGAACTACATTAAGGAAATTTTCTCCAGTAATAGATTGGTAACTGTTCTGCAATTTCTTGACTTAAAGATTTACCTGGAGCCTTGAAAGACTAAATGATTTGCTCAGGATCACATAACCAGTAATTATCATAGGCCAGACTTGAACCAAAGTTTTCCTGACCCTGAGGTTGACTTTCTATGCCAAACTGCCTTTCTAATTTCTAATAAAACATCTTTTTTAAAGAATAATGATGTAGAGCTAGGAACATGCTCGATGGTGATACACTAAACAATAACAATCCTATCTGTCTGTCTGTCTATCCATCTATCTAGTACCCATTCTAGAAGTATAGAGGCTTCCCACAGAACGATTTAACTCTGATCACCTGGGAGCTTAGGTCTGTTCTGTTTCTGACCTAGGCCAATCTGGTCTTCCTTAGGAAACCAGGTGGCCCTTACTTGAGATTGCATAGCTGGGATGACAGGTGAGTGTTATTACACCTGGCCTTTTCCCCTGTTTTCTGCAGCCTACCAAAAAACCATTCAGTCAGCTATTGAACATCAATGAATTAGGAGGCATAGTTTATGCTTTGGCTACTAGGTAGCAGTACCCTTAGTCTGCCAGTCAAGTGGCTTTATCAGACAGTATTCGCTGCCCGTGTGCTGGCTTTCACAAGGGTTGTGGTGGCCCCATTGCTCATTAGAAGGCGCTTAGTCCATAAACTTAGAGACCACTGCCCCCTCATACAAGTATGGGCTCCTAACACCTATCTTGCAGGGTTATTGTGAGGACCAAATGAAGTAAAGATTGTAAAGCACATAGCACAATGCTATAGTAAGCACTATACAAGTGTTAGTTATAACTATTATTGTTTGATATGGTCTCAATAGGGCAAAGTACAACAAAACTACTACTTCCTTCCCTCTGCACACAGTGCTTCTTGTAATCATTCCTTAAAAGTGAAAGGGCAAGCATCTAGTTTAAAATTAATCCTCTGAACAGGACTTCAATGTGTTAGTAATTATTTGGGAATTTGTTATTAAAAATAGAGCCTCAAAATAAAGTATGTGCAGAGTGGAAATGTCCATATGTGTGGTTAGGCAACATGAGACATCAGTAGATGTACTCCCAGTATGGGAAGCCCTAGAAGGGCTGGGGAGGACCTTTTCAGAGAAGGGGGATGAAGGACAAGCAGGCTGGAGAAAAAAAAAATAAAAACACCAGCCCCAGGGTAGATGAAGAGAAGCATTTATAGAGTTGGGCCTTATTCAAGCCAGAGCTAAAAACAAGGAGGACTTCCCTTAGCTGCGCCCCATCAATGCTGATATGAGTGGCAGGAGACATTTCTCCTTATCGGTGTGGGACTCTGAGGGGGCCGATGTTCCCAGTGGAAGCAGCAGCAGATGTTTACCTGCTGAGTTCCAAAACAAAATAATAAGACTGTCTTCTCTCTATCCCAATCATCCAAAGGATAAGTCATTTACTCCTTGTCCCTCTGTTCTTTAACTTAAAATGCTATGCTGATAAGTTAACACAGGAAGCTGGAGCTTACACAGTATTAGGGTTGGAAGGTGGGGGTAGTTTTAAGGAATTGGGTGTTGAGAGTGACTGCTGCTTATTTATTCCTTGTTATTTATTTTAACATTCTGCTTTAAGTGAATGTGATGTCACATGTTTAACTCTGGTTAGGTTGAAGAGATCAAAATGGGAAGGTAATGGGTCTCTGTTTTGAATAGATCAGGGGTGGGGAAACTGTGGCCTTGAGGCCACATGTGGCCTTCTAGGGTAGGTCCTTGGGTGCAGCCTTTTGACTGAGTCCAAGTTTTACAGAACAAATCCTTTTATGAAGGGCCACACTTGAGGACCTAGAGGGCCACGTGTAGCTTTGAGGCTAAAGGTTCCCCACCCTTGGAATAGATGATGGGCCCCAAATGGGTTCTAGCAACCTGAATGTGGCTTACGGTGGCTACCCCTTAATGAACCCCTCTCTCCTCCACACACATACATAGAAATGACATAATTAGCAAAGGCAACACGGTGTTTAAAATGCTCAACCCCATCCCCTGCCCCACTCTCACCATTTATTTTAATATGAAATAAGACTTACAAAGAGAAAATTAGCTAGATTGAACAGCTAGATGATTAAGGATGACCGGCCTTTATTTTGGGCCCTTCATGTTCACCTAGCCAATCAGAAAGAAATCTTTGCTTCTAACCATCATTGATTCTCAGGATTTGTGCTGCTGATTTCTAAGAAGCAGTTAAGGTAGTGCTGGTTGTTTTCAGTCCTGGAAGCATGCAGATAAATTTGATCTTCTTTCAGTAGGGGACCAGCCTACAGCTGATTTATCAGACATCATAATCTGAGGCAGCCTCATGATTAATCACACTATTGACTCATACTGAGCTTGAAGCACACTAGAAACTGCAGATCTTTTCCAGACAAACTGATAACTAGTCATGCCTCTCCTGTCTTGATCTTGTGAAATCTATTATTTTAACCAAAGAGTAGGTCTTTACAATTATCCCTATTAAAGTTAATCTTAACAGATTTGGACCAATGTTCTAATCTGTCAGGATCATTTGGGATCCTGAAACTATCATGTAACGGGTTAGCTATCCCTATTAGCTTTGTGTCATCTGGAAATGTAAGAAATATGCCAACTATGTCTTTATTTGAGTCAGCAATAAAAATCTTAAGACTGGGCCAAGTGCAGATCCCTAAGGCACTCCACTAAAGACCTCCTCTTAAGCTAGCTTCAGACTATTAGTGATTACTCTTTGGGTCCTGACACTTAACCACTGTGTACTATTCTTTAGTCCATAACTCTCCCTCTTCTGCACAATGATAGAATAAAAGATTTTAAAAAGCCTAATAACTGCTTAAAATACATCTGCAGTGTTCTCCTGACCTACTAGTCCAGTAACCTTGTTAAAAAAAAAAGACAGTGGGTGGGTAATTAAGTTCATTGGAAATTGTCTGGTCCTAATGAGCTTTCCCCCACTTATCTTTATCAAGTTGGAGTTTAACTGTAATGCAGTGGAAAGATTGCTTAGTTTGGAATTACTTATGTGACATCAGGCAAATCACTTAAACTTTGTGGTCTGCAAAATCAGTGACTTGAAGGAGTGACTTCTTTTTTTTTGTTAGGCAATGGGGTTAAGTGACCTGCCCAGGGTTACACAGCTAGTAAGTGTTATGTGTCTGAGGTCAGATTTGAACTCAGGTCCTCCTGAATCCAGGGCTGGTGCTCTATCCACTGCACCACCTAGCTGCCCCCTAGGAGGTGACTTCTCAGGTCTAAATCCATGAAACTATTTTGGCTCTTTATAATCACAGCTTCCTGTTCTATGTGATTAATAACTCTTCCTTTAATAATGTGCTCTAGAATTTTACCAAGAATCAAAGCCAAGGCTATTTACTTAGAGTCTGAAGACTCCTCTTTCCAATTGTTGAAATCCATGTTAGAATGTATGATATTTAGACTAACACTAGACCCATTGAGCTATTTTGGCTGTGTTGAAAAAGCCATTTAGTGGCTGTAAAACTGTGCAGACCATTTGACCCAGCAGTACTACCACTATACATATTCCAAAGACGTCAAAGAAAAGGAAAAATGACCTATTTGTACAAAAATATTTATAGCAGCTCTTTTTGTGGTGGCAAAGAATTGGAAATCAAGGGGATGCTCATCAGTTAGAGAATGGCTGATTAAGTTGTGGTGCATGATTGTGACAGAATAATATTGTGCTATAAGAAATTAGGAGCAGGAGGGTTTCAGAAAAACCTGGAAATACTTACACAGACCGATGCAAAATGAAGTGAGCAGAAGCATGAGAACACTGTATATAGTAACAGAGACAATTATGAAAGATTTGGCTACTCTGATCAAGATGGTGATCTAAGACAATTCCAAAGGACCTATGATGAGAAATGCTTTCTACCTCTAGAGAGAGAACTGATGAACTCTGAATGCAGGCTAAAATATACTTTTTAAACTTTTTTAAAAAAAATTTTCTGTTTTCTTTTGCAACATGGTTAATATCAAAATACTTTTTGTGTGATTTCACATGTATAGTCAATATCAAATTTCTTGTCTTCTCAAGGGGGAAGAGGGGTGATAGGGAAGGAAAGAATTTAGAACTCAAAATTTTTAAAAATGAGTGTTAAAAAAATTTACACATAATCATGAAATATTTAACAGAAAAATAAATAAAATACATTTAGAAAAATAAAAAGTTCTTTAATTCATTTATTTTCAGAGAGATTTTTGGTTTCACATTCTCACTAGGATGAAAAGTTCCTAAGGGAAAGTATGAACATGCACCACTGGACTCTCAGAGAGATCAGGGAATTCAGGATGCTCACATATCTGGAAAGGAAAGAGAGAGAGAGAAACCTGCCTAAGTATATTCATCCACCAAACTTTATACCATAGAGAGTAGCTACAGTGTAATAAGGATAGCAGTTGAAACAACCAGAAGTTGACAGGAGACAAAAATCCGAGAAAGAAGCAAGCAGATAGTCATGTTTTCAAATGTGTAAACAAGGATATGCAAATGATGAACCAAAGGTACTACTGTATGGAAGCAAAATTGACCTTATAGGAATCATTAACACTTAGTGGTATGAGACTCATTATTGAAACATGGGCTTGTTCTATTATGAATGGGCATGCCAAATTCTGAACAAGTAGGATAGGTGAAATAGGGTGGGATAGTGTATATGAAGAAGATAGACTCTTCTGCAGAAATCCAGGCACCAAATAAGGGAAGAATTTGAATAAAGGTAGATAGAGGCAGAAACCAAAGTGAGTTGCTACTGGGTTAGACTTCCCCAACAAAAAAAGGAAAAAGATGATGTATTTCTTGGGAAATAGATCACAAGCCAACATAAAGGCATTATATATTAGGTACAAGACTTCAATTATCCCGGTGCCTAGTGGAACACTCTCTTTCTTTGAAAAATAGAGGAACTGACACTTTCTTGATTTGACCTAAAGATAATTTCATCTTTCAAAAGATGGAGAAACCAAGAAGGGGAATAAGTTAACAATGTGATACGGCACTGAAGAAAATGAATAAGATCTTAGGTGGCTCTAAAAGTAATAGCTTCCTGAAAGAAATAGGTGGGTATTCCCCTGTATTGTGTCTTGAGCAAATTCTACTGGAGTATTCTGTACCATTCTAGGAAGATCATTAATGAATTGGAAAATACCTACAAGAGAGCAGCCAGTTTACAGAAGTGCCTTGAAGTCATGCCATATTAAGATTGGTTTAAAGAAATATTTAAGGGTATTTAGCATGCAGGAGGAAAGACTTACAGGGGATATGATAGCTATCAAGTAATTGGAAGGCTTTCAAGTAGAAGAGTAAATTGACTTACTTTGGGAAACATAGACTTGATTTCATGAAAAGCTGCCTAACAATTAGGGCAGTTCAAAAGTGGAAACGATTGCCTTGGGCGTAGGGGATAGGGAGGCATGAATAATGAGTTTTCCCTAAATGGAAGTCTTCAAACAAAGGTTGGATGTCCATTTCTTTGATATGTTGTAAAGAGATTCTTTTGCAGTTATGACTGGGTTGGACTAACTAGTCACTGAGGTTCCTTCTAACTCTGAAATTCTGTGATTCTTTGATCCTACGAGCAAGCCAGCACCCCTCAGAGATCATAACTTGTTGCAGTCCTCAGATGGATTCTAGAGCTGCCTCACCGTAAGGGAGAAACGTGTTTTTCTTGTTGCCTTTTTAATCTTTGGTTTAAGTTTTTTGTTGAGATATTCAAGCTGGCAGTCACGGATGGGTATACCAAAGAATGCATTGTACTCCCCTATGCCAAGCAAACAAATGTGCAGCCAAAGTAAATATTTTTTTTTTCTGTACAACAGACCATAGAGATTCAGAGGGGAGGATGGAGTATATTGTAATGTGTGGAGAGAGCTAAGAAGGGGCCCTGGAGAACCAAGGATCAAAAGACGATAGTTTTAGAGTGGAAAAGACCTGAGAGGTCACCTAATCCAATGCCCTCATTTTACAGTTGAGGAATTAAGACTCAGAGAAACTGTGACTTACATTCAGCTGGGACTTAAACTTGAGTCCTCTGATTTTAAATTAAACTTTCTTCCTGCTACAACAAAGAAGGATGGAAAACCTCTGTGTGAGGGTGTGTGTGTGTGTATGCATGTGTAAAGAGATTGTCTTTGTGTAATCATGATGTCAGTACAGGGGAGGGAAGACTGGTGATTCATAGAAGTCCAAAAAGCCTTCTGTGTCCAAAGAAAAGAATTTCTAATAACAGAATTTTAGGGCAATGAAGGAAGGGAAGAGGTAAGGGGCTTACCCGGTTACTTTCAAATCATGCCTATCTATTTCCATAACATATCTATATCTATAACATGCACATCTACAATATCAGAGAGCTGGATACAAAGAAAGAAGGAAGAAAACAGTTGTGAAGTGCCTACTATGTTCCAGGCACTGAGTTAAGCAATATTATCTCTTTGAATCTGCATAATGATTCTGGGAGATAGGTGCTATTACTATCTTCATTCTACAATTGAAGAAACTAAGGCAAACATAGTTAAGTGACTTGCCAATGGTCAGATAGCTAGTAAGTGTCTGAGGTTGGATTTGAACTCAGGTCTTCCTGATTCCAGGCCCAGCACTCTGTACCATCTAGCTGTTTTACATGCTAGTATTCTTTAACTAGGCTACTGAATACTGGGAAGGTTCTGGTTTGTTAAATAATTTACCATTATTCTCACTTTGTGTCCTGGTTTTTGTATATTGAAGTTTTTAATTATTCTGATCCATTGAGATAATTTTACTTTAAAAATCAGTTGAAAAAAATATATAGCTTTGATGACTCGGGGTTCCATTTTATTCTTATGGTCTTGTCCTCAGTATTCTTAACAACTGCTCTAGGAAGAGTTCTGTTCACCAAACACTTTCACCCATGATTACAGCAGGCAAACCTCACTAGCTTTTTGTTTCTTTTTGAAAAAAATCCTTCAGTGTATAAATATACCTATGTGTATGTATGTGTAAAAGCCACACAATTATATTATAATGATTAATAATAATAACAGCTCAAATTCATGGAGCCTTTTAAGGTTTACAAAGGGCTTGAAATATACTGTCTCACTTGATCCTCACAAAACCCCTGTAAGACTGATGCCATTGTAATCTCCCTTTTACAGATGAAGAAACTGAGGCCCCAAGAGTCACTGGCTCTGTAATCAGAGAATCCGTGTTCAGATCTCAACTCTAACCCTTGCTATCTGTGTGACCTTAGACAAGACTGCTTGCTTATCCATTAACATGAGGGTGTGGGACTAGGTAACCTCCAAGGACCTTCCAGCTCTTAATCTTTATGATCTTGTGACTCTCTTAGGTACTTTTGCTCACTGACTGAAACATCTGTGCCAGGACTGGTAACTTTGCTTGAGGGTTGTTCTTATCCTATATCTTATCCTTGCTTTGCCTGTATTTGTTTGCAGGACACTAGATTATAAGCTCCTTGAAGGCAGGGGCTGTCTTTTTCCTCCTTTTGTATCCCTGGTGCTTAGCACAGTGCCTGGCACATGGTGGAGTTTAATACATGTTTACTGATTGATTGATTCTTGGGCCCTGTCTCTAAATGTGCTGGGAAAACAGAAAGTTTTAGCCAGGACAATCTCAACATTCTCTCTTTATATTCAGTGGGCATCTTGGTGCATTTCTGTCAGAACAAAGGGTGAGAGGCAATTTGGATTTCTCTCTTTTATGTTTGGCACCAATTGAGCCTACTTCCTAGTTTTGCTAAGGGGTTTCCCTGCCTTTAACAACTCGCTGACTTTCAAATTCTGTCAGCTGCTCTTTCCTCTTCCTGTTTGACTCAGTGTGGCTGCTCTTTCTGAAACGTTCCATTTCTGACCTGGTGTTCCCCAGCCCTTACCACCCAAATGTCACGCAGCTCTGCAAGCAATGTGCCCCTCACCACCAGGCCTGGAACATCCCCGATTCCACCCACAGTCTGTTCTCTGTACTCTGAGGTATGTGTGCAGGTTATGAGTCACAGGCTGCATGGCCTTCCTAGATGTAACTATAATTGGAATATCTCTTTCTTCACTGAGGTCATGATCTCTCAGAAGAAGGGCCAGTTTCATGAATACTCCTAGATTTTCATAACCCTCCTTCTGGAGATCTGCATGTACCTCATGGGTCACTTGCTATGGTTTACAAAGATCTGGGGCTTTTACTTTGTTTTGGCTAGCAAATTAATTAATATGAATTCAATTCAACACAACAAATATTTATCTGAGCACCTATTCTGTAGGAATCACAGCTGAGATTACTACATTTGGCAAAAATAGCTCCTTCCCTTAAACCTATATCTAGTTCAGGTAACATGCCAACCATTAGGGGGAAAGCAGTTAAATACAAATATAAGTCATATGATTAGCAACAAAAATGAGGGAACAGGTGTTCAAAAAAAAAAAGAAGGTAACAGGCAACACAGTGTCTGCAAAGTAACTGTATGAACATGAAGAATTCATTTAATCTTTCTTGTGCTTATTTTCGTCAACTGTAAGATGGGGTAGGCTTAACCAGATTATCTCTAAGGTCTTAGGCTCATGTAACTCTGAAAGGGACCCTAGAAACCACCTAGCCCACTTTCTCTCCCTGCCCCCCATTTTACAACTGAAAAACTGAGACCCAGAGAGAGTTGCTCACAGCCACAGCAGTAAGAAGTAGTAGATCTGAGATGCAACCAAGAATTCTTTCAATTTTAACACTCAAAATCTAGGAGAGTTAAGAGATGGAAGAGATAGTAGGTTCAATTTATTTTCAGTTACAGATTCTCTTCTTTTCCCCACCCCTCTTCCACCCATTGAGTAGGCAAAAAAACCCTGCAAACCCATTAAAAATATGAAGTCATACAAAACAAATTTCCACATGAGTCATGTGGAAGAGATAACTGGAAACTGGGATAGCTTGTCAAGGCATCACGGATGACATTGACAAAGTAGATCATATCCAGAAGAAGGAGACCAAGATGGTGAGGGAACTTAAAACTAGATCCTAGGAAGATGGATTGATGCATCTAGGAATGGTTATTCTGGTGAAGAGAAGAGGAGGGGCTATCATTAGTCATCTTCAAGATCAAATGAAAAATTATATCTAAAATGCATGGCAGATTTTAAAGCACTGTATAAATAGTCATTATGAGTATCATATTTTTTCTGATTTTTTGGATGAGATTCAGATAAAAATGTTATGAGGGTGAGTTGTTATCCTGCTACTATTCTTTTATATTGAATGTCCTGTGGACAAAGTGATTAAACAAATGCTTTTTGTAACTAAAAAACTGTTGGGAAGTAAGTACCTCTGTCAGAAACTCCCTGAAAGTATCTCTAGCAGGATGAAGGTAGCATGGCACGTACCTCTTTCTGTTCCCACATGTTTAGTTTTCTTTGCCAGGTGTGTTTATTTTGAAAACTTTTCATTCCGTGTACTTTGGGCATTATGAGCATTTGGAATAGTTGCATCTGTCAAAAAACATCATTCTTAAATTTCTTATGTAGCAATGGCAAGTTTATCAAGGCAGTTTAGGGCAACAGTTCTCTCTTCAACAATGCTCCAATTTTATTACAGTTGGTTTGTTGAATTTTCAGATAGGGTTTGTACTTGTACAACAGGGATTTGTCATCTGGTGGTTTATAAGGGGCAACAAGCTTCTGGTATGGAATTCTATGGACCTGATTTTGACTTCTAGGCATTCAGCAGATGCTAAATCGTTGCAATCTGTTGTGATATGTTGAACCGTTTCCACCACTTCATTGCATATTCTTCCTTGATGAATAAGTACAGGTTCCATAACAACAAAGTTTTTGTAATTTCTGGTGTCAATGGCCTGAGTTGCTGTCACAAAACCCACAACTTTGATGATGATGATGATGACATCTGCTATTTATATAGCCCATTAAGGTTTTCGAAGAACTTTATATATGTTAACTCACTTGATCCTCACAACAATCCTATGAGGTAGATGCTAAAATAAGCCCACATTTCTATTTAATGCTGATCAAATCCAGCAAGAAGAGACAGAAAGAGAATGTCAACGTAAAATTACTACAGAGTGTATAAAATACTTGGGAATCTGTCTTCCAAGATACACAGAACATCTGTTAATCTTCTCTTCCTTTTTGAAAATGAAGTATTAATCTCTCTACACCTGCTTTAAGGGGTGAGAAGTTTTGTATTTTGTTAACATGATAAGGATTTTTGTTCACACACCTTCTACATCCATTTTTGTCAATTTGACTGTATCAAAAAATGTACATGAACATTGATATTAGTTGGCTGGGTGTGGTGGCACAAGTCTGTAGTCTCTGTGAAGGCTAAAACTGAGAGATTGCTTGAGTTTGGGAGTATTGCGTTTAAGTAGGATAAAAGCCAATCAAATGTCTATACTATATCTGACACTAGTATGTTTACCATACCTCTCTCCCAGGGGTGGAGGGCCAGCAGAATATCTAAGGGGGAGCTAACTGGCCCAGGCCAGAAAAGCAGAGGAAGTTAAAGCTTCCATACCAATAAGTATTGGGACTGGGCCCATGAATGACAGGTATATTTCCAGACTAGACAAGGTAGAGAGACTCAGTCTCAAAATTATTATATTACATACATGTTTTTGCTTTAAGCATGTTCTTCTAGTTAAGCTTTGAGTTCAGGATGCCAGTCATTCTCTTAACATATAGAGCCTCAGCTTTCCCTTTCACAGTTTTAGCTTCAATGCATCTTTGCTGGAGAAGATCAATGTATTTATAAGCATCCTTTTTATCTTTTGTTTCAATTCAACATCCAGGTATAAGCTATCAAACCTTCAGTCTCTATTCTTCCTTGGCACATATTAAGAATTTTACACTTCACTAATACAGTGTAGGTGAAACTGAACTGATCCAACCATTTTGGAGAGCAATCTGGATTATGCCCAAAGAGTTATAAAACTGTGTATATCCTTTGACCCAGCAATAGCACTATTAGGTCCATTTCCCAAGATGATCAAGGAAAAAGGAAAAGAACCTGTATGTTCTACATTATTTACAGCAGCTCTCTTCGTGGTAGTAAAGAACTAGAAATTGAGGAAATGTCCATCAATTGAGGAATGGCTAAGCAAGTTGTGATATATGACTGTGATGGAATACTACTATGCTGTAAGAATGATGAGCAGGTTGATTTTAGAAAAACGTAGAAACACCTGCATGAAATAATGAAGAATGAAAAGAATAGAACCAAGAGAATGTTGTATATAATAACAGCAATACTGTTTGAAGTATAACTGTGAATGACTAAGCTATTCTGAGTATTACAAATATTCAAATCAACTGCAAAGGTCCTATAAAGGAAGATGCTATCCACCTCGAGAGAAAAAACAGATAAATAAAAATATTTATAGTATCATTTTACACGTTTGTGTGTGTGTGTATGTGTGAAATGGTGGATTTCTCTAGTGAGGAGTGAGGAGGGTAGAAGGGAAACAGTTTGAAACTTAAAATGTAATAAAAAATGAATTAAATTAATTTAAAAAGAAAAATAATATATGCTTTATATATTTTCCAAGTGACATTTCTGTCACTGGAGAAAATTTCCATGAGATCAAAAAGCAATTTCATGGACTTTTCACTGAGCCATTTAACTTAAAGTCATGCATGTATATCAAGTGATTAGCATGTTTTGGTAGAATGACATCTTTGACTTTGGAAGTCATACTCAATGCCATTCAGTAGTGATGATAATGGACTGAAACCTAGGGAGAACCATAGCAGTCTTAAATTGCCACTTTGGAGATATTTTATATTCTATATTAACATTTTATTAATATTTTATGTAACTTGTACTTGACATGATTGTGTTGGTTATATGCTTTAAATAGAAAACAGTTTTCCACACGGACATCAAATACGCTAGCATTCTCACTAATGTTTGGCTCTATTTTGTGTTTGTAGTACATGGCTAAGCCATGAGTCCAAAAGCAAGACAAAGGCTTTGTGATGATCAGCAAAGGCATTGTAAATGTTACAAACTCTTGGGGCATCAAGTTTAATAATAACCGGATTGCTACTGAGTTGCTCTTTATATTCCTTGATCTTTTTGGCACACTCTTCATCTTTCAGCTGATACATTTTTTTTCTTGCATGCATTTATGGACTTTTTTTCAACTATGCAAACTGTGAATGCTTTTCATCAAATAAATAAACATATAATTGGCCTATATTTGGAGGGTTGCTGCAGTTCTCATCTTTAGGTAATAAAAATATGATCTCTTCAATTTTAAAAGATGGGATTAAGTTTACATCAGAAAAGAAGCTGGTAAAGTGCTTTGCTTTTAATTCATTTACTGCTGTGAAGCCTTTGAGCCAATAATTATGAGCCTTAGCCAAACCTGCCACTTTCCACTTTTGCAGAGAAGCTAGTATTTCAGTCACATCAACTGATGTAACTTCTATCATTCATTACATTAATATACACAAATATTTTCTTTCACATTTAATCTAACTTTCACTGTTATTGTGTTAACTTTCTTTGGATTATATAGATGACCAGAAATTTTCTATATCCTCTTTCTTTAGGTGTTTTATTTTTCCCTTCTTTTTCTTCTTGTTCTTCTTCTTGTTATTCTTGTTCTTCTTCTTCCTTCCTTCCTTCCTTCCTCCCCTTTCTCCTTATTATTGCTATTTTGTTTCTCAAACCTCTATAGAATAGTTTTTAATTGATTATAAATTATGTATTTTATTCTTTGACTCATATCACATTAACCAGTGGGCTTTTATTTTTAATTGTTGAAATTAAGGTACCATGAAATTCTGTTTTATGTATTTCTGTTTTCTGGATTCCATACTGAATGATTCTTTTTCAGTGTCTAATTAGGTGACATGATGTTCACATTTTCTATTGTGGATGCTTGTTAGAAAATGATGCAATCTTCAAATGTTTTAGAAATTTGATTTTTAGTATTTTTTCCAGGCACTTTTACCATGTTGGCATTTGATGCCTCTTCTTAGGATTATTACTCAATAACTACTGTTCTCTTTATCTTAGCAAAAGATACAGTATAGATTGTTATGTATGTGTCCTAGAATATTTTTTATACTGTTGGTCAAACTATTATAGTAGAATAGACAATTCATTGTAGTAATAGGCTATAATGTTTTTTTCCCAAAATTACTCAGTTTTGGTTTTAAATAGTTGGTCTCATTCAAAGGTTTTTATCCTCAGGTTCACAGAACCTCAGGGGATAGATTTCAGGGAGTCCATGATACGGGATGGCAAAATAATTGCATTTTTATTTCAATATAATCAGTTTCCATTGCAATGCTATGTGTTTTATTTTATTCATTTGAAAACACTGTTCTGAGAAAGGATCCATAGGCCTCACCAGACCAGCAAAGGGGCCCATGATACCCAAAAGTTTAAGAGCGTCTGCTCTAATTGAATTTTTGCCATCTAATTCAAAAAGAGCATTTTGAAATTTCAGTCTAAGTATGCTCATCTCCTTTTCAAGACCATTTGAGATGACTGCATTGTTTTTGCCATCCATTTAATGAATAGATGGCACTTCTGGCATTTCTGTTAAGTATAAATTTTCAGGGGCAGTGAGGTGATGCAGTGGAGAGAGCACGGGCCCTGAAGTCAGGAGAACCTGAGTTCAAATCTGGCCTCAGACCAAACACTTGATGCTAGCTGTGTGACGCTGGGCAAGTCACTTAACCCCATTTGCCTAAAAGCAAAAAAAAAAGAAGTATAAATTTTCAGTGCTTTCAGGTTCCTTCTTCAGGTTTAAGAATCTTTCAGTTTTTGTTCTTATTTCCTCCAATTTGGGTTAAGAAATGAAGTTACTACCCTCCATTAATCTGTAACATATTGTCGTGTACCTTAGAGCTGAGGATATTCGGGACAAAATGTTGTGTGAATTCTTTGCCTTGATAAGATGCATTTCCAATTTTGTTATGACACAGAACTGGCCCAGGCCACTTCATGACCATTTGTGGTTTTCCTGCTTTGGTGGCTAGTAACATCTTCACTGAATTATTTGCAGTGGAGGATGGGGTAAGGGGAGTGGGATTGGCACTTCTGAGTTGTTCCAATATATCTTGTCTTCTTGTGACATGGGAAGGGGGAGGAGTGTCACTTCCCTGTCTTCTATGTCAAACTGTTCTTCACAAGAGCTCAGAGTAGGACCAGCCTACAACCTTATGCTGCTAAGTTTATTTCTTAGCTTCATAGATGCAGTGTCATCAATCAGCTTGGCTGGAGTGCTAGCCCAATCCAATTGACCATCATTTCAGTGTTCCTTCCAGGCCTCCACAATGAAGAAAATGGTGCCAGGGAAATGCAGGGTCACAGCTGTACATAATCCTGGCAGATTTGCCTTTACTGAGGGCATCTCCTTATGACATGGATGATACCTTGAGTATTTAGGTATGATATTATTGTTGTTGATAAGAGACTTGACTCAAGGGCTATTGATGTGGAAGAGGGTTTAGAT